CAAAAAACAAAAAACAATTCAGTATTCTGTACTTCTTTGATATGGCATTCATCTTTGTTTTTTAACTTCACAATTTGTAAAAAAAATTTCTTAGTTGCAACATTGTGTTTAGACTTCAGACAAATTGATTACGTATTTCAAACTCAATTGCGTTTTTCTTGCCCGAAAAAATTGAAATAAAGAAATATGAATGATCTGTGATACTGAAAAAACAAATGTTTGAATTTTCTCTTTTAAAGTTGAAATAAATCCGGGCATTTTCTAGTTTGTTCTTTGAATCAAAATCATACTTTTAAACTCATATAAGTGTGTTGAACCATTCACATGAATTACCCAACTTACTCTTGTGCACAGACTTATTTCTTTAGAAGAAACAGGGAAATGATTTGGAATCAACTTAAACAAATCAATTTCAAGAAATCAGAAACCGGTAAAAAAAAGTACTTAATAAACATTGCAGATAAAATTGTTAAAAAATATCGGATGTTATTAAGAAGCTAACTTATAATAACAACATGAACATTTTAGAATTTGACGCCTAATTAATGATGTCGAATATATTATTAAAATGCCCCATTTTATCTTATTATGCTAAAAATAATTTAGATTCAACTAAGTTTACTAAATTTTGCTTAAGAACAGTATTACATATTACATATTATGCTCAAAATTCGTATTCAGAATTAATTTATATAGAGAAATTGACAAATTCATATATAAAAAAATAAAAAAAATAGAAACATGGTGGTAAGTAGCAGTCCCTGGAATACATCAAAATTATTATACAATTATTATATAATGAAATCAAAATCAATATTAAATGTATGGGAAACGTTTTTTTCTGAACACATCATGAATTATTTAAGTCAAAGCAAGTTTCGACGGTATTAAGGTTGTTAGATATTCTCTATGTTTCATGTTTATTATTAAGGTTGTTAGATATTCTCTGTGTTTCATGTTCATTAATAAGGTTGTTAGATATTCTCTATGTTTCATGTTCATTATTAAGGTTGTTAGATACTCTCTATGTTTCATGTTTATTATTAAGGCAAGTAGCATCATGGTTGTTGGTTATAATTAATGAAATCAAACACAACGGCAAGTAGCATCATGATTGTTGGTTATAATTTCTGAAATCAAACACAACGGCAAGTAGCATCATGGTTGTTGGTTATAATTTCTGAAATCAAACACAACGGCAAGTGGCATCATGGTTGTTGGTTATAATTTCTGCCGGTATTGTTTTTTGGCTGCGGTGTAAATATAATAAATCTTACAGTGTTTAAAATTGTAAATGTTCAAATGTATTAACAGAACTATAAAAGACTCTCAAAATATTCCTGGCCCCTGGTGGGAGTGCGTTAAGTTTACGGATTTACAACGCTAAAATCCGGAGTTCGATCCTCCGCGGTGAACACAGTAGATAGTCCATTGTAGGTTTGCTAAACAAACACAACATTTTAGGCGCACAGCATTCTTTTCCTGATTATATAGTTTTTTTAGTTCCTCTGAAATGGCATAATTCGTTTGAAAAACTAGTAAGTTAAACATTCTGAAGATTCCAGTTTCGACCAAGAATCTTTGTCGTGAACATGAAACACAGAGAATATCTAATAACCGTAATAATGAACATGAAACATAGAAAATATCTAACAACCTTAATAATGAACATGAAACATAGAGAATATCTAATAACCGTAATAATGAACATGAAACATAGAGAATATCTAACAACCTTAATAATGAACATGGAACATAGAGAATATCTAACAACCTTAATAATGAACATGAAACATAGAGAATATCTAACAACCTTAATAATGAACATGAAACATAGAGAATATCTAACAACCGTTGTGTTTGATTTCAGAAATTATAACCAACAACCTTGATGCTACTTGCCGTTGGGTTTGATTTCAGAAGTTATAACCAACAACCATGATACTACTTGCCGTTGTGTTTGATTTCAGAAGTTATAACCAACAACCATGATGCTACTTGTCGTTGTGTTTGATTTCATTAATTATAACCAACAACCATGATACTACTTGCCGTTGTGTTTGATTTCAGAAATTATAACCAACAACCATGATGCTACTTTCCGTTGTGTTTGATTTCAGAAGTTATAACCAACAACCATGATACTACTTGCCGTTGTGTTTGATTTCAGAAGTTATAACCAACAACCTTGATGCTACTTGCCGTTGGGTTTGATTTCAGAAGTTATAACCAACAACCATGATACTACTTGTC